ACCATTTAAAAATCTGGAAAGGAGTCTGAGGGGCTGATTAGAAGTTGTGATGTCCTCTTGGGGAAGGCAGGACACATTGATGTAAAAGACCCACTAGGGAGGAGGCTCTTATATGCCCTTGCACTTTGGATCTAGACCCCAAAGGCTGAACCCTGGGAATGAAGGTGAGCCAGAAGTGCCCATGCATAAACTACAGCCCAGACTCAGGTGATCTGGGTGACTTAGATAATTTCACTTCCTAAAACTGGGTTCAGATGTTCCCAGTCTGACAGTGCCTCCAGGCAGAAATAAACAAAAATTTGTCTCTGGAGGAGGACAACAGCATCTTAGACCTCAATGTTTTTCTATAAACAATTCTGCAAACACAATTTTGGCACATCAGTAAAGATAACCAGGCCTAAGAGTTGAGAAGAGAACATGAAAAAGAACCAACAGAAACAACACACTATAGAAACAGATCCTGAAGTGGCACTAAATTTTGGAATTGTCATACTTACACACAGAAGTTAAATTAACAAATCTAAAATTTGGACATTTTGAGCAACAAAGTAAGGACAGTAATGAATTATAACCCATGAAAGAAAATAGGAATCCTTGAGTTCATACTGATATAAATAAATGAATAAAGGGGCAAGAAATGGGTAAGGGGAGCTGTTCCTTAAAGCAGAATTCCAGTAAATGTAGAAGAAAGAGATGGTGGAATTAGGTAATCACCACTTTGTGGCAACCACCACAGGAATAGATATGAAACACATAGGGATAATTGATTAACATTAGTATAGTTTTCTCTTGATGTTTACATGTATATCTTTCTTCCATCCTTTTACTTTCAAAATTTTGGTCTATGTTTTAGGTCAATCTCATAAGCAACATGTGGTTGTTTTTCTGAAGTTTGATACCCTTTGTCTTTTAATTGGAGTACTCAATCTATTTTCACTTAATATAATTTATGAATACATTTGGGTTTACATCTATGTTCTCTATTTCTCCCACCTGTTCTATATTCCTTTTTCTCTTTTGCTTTTCTTTTTTGATGTGATTGAATACCTTTTATCGTTCCATTATTCCCCCCTATTATTTTTGCTTTCATTTGCTTTCAAATGAAATTCAACTTCATACACAGCCTGAACATTCTAAACTTCAGTTATTTTTGTTGTATCTCCATACTACCTGGTCTACTTAATCTGTTTAGCCATTAACACTGATTCTAAAAGGAAATGTTACATTGCTACAGTAAATTTTAAAAAATTGGTACCACTTGCCATTAATAGAAAATAACTATAAGATTAAATATAAACAGTTACAACAAAAAGTACTCATTTTATATACCACTTATGGGAAACACTTCCATATTCCACAAGTCTCTGTCAAGATCTAGAGTTACACTGCCCCAAATGATAGCCACTAGCCACATATAGCTATTTAATTAATGCTAAACAAAATTTTAAAAGCTTAGTTCCTCAGTCACACTGGCTACGTTTCAAGTGTTTAATAGCCACATGAGGCTACTGACTGTGGTATCAGGCAGCACACCTATTGAACATTTTCATCATTGTAGAAAATTCTGAACAGCATTGTTACAGACCTTCTCTCTAGCAACTCCACCCCTCCCTCACCCCCATGCTGAGCCACACTAGTCACCCAGTCTTGGAATGTGACAAAGCTGTTTTCCTGGTTCAAGCCTTTGCAGTTTCCCATCCCTCTGCCTGAAAAACTCTTCCCTGCTCTTTGCCTTGCTAGCTTCTTTTCATTTTTTGGGTCTCATCTCTCTAGCCAGACTTTCTCTGGCTATCTCAAATAGTACCTACTCCCAACCTCTACTTCTTTATTTCCCATGTCAGCCCTTGGGTTTTTTCTTTCACTGCAATCATTGCAATTTACAATTATTTTATTCACATCTGTTTACTTCTCATCTTTACCTAAGCCACTCCAATTGTACTTCTATCACAACTAAAAAGAGCTTTAGTTCAGAAAAAAATGCCTAAGTTACTCAAAAGCACCAAGTCCACAAAAATGCATACCAAGACAACATGATAGAAAATCTGAAAGAAGAAAAAGCTCAATAAAGTCAGGAAATTATGTCTACAGATCCACATAGAAAGTTAATCAAAGCCTTATTTCACCATTTAAACTATGGATTTCCCCAGAATATGTCACTGCATTCAAAATATTCAAATGGAAAGGTCAACAAAACTAATGAATAAATACATTTTATTTTATAGTTTAGAGAGGTTTCAAGAGAAATGTAAATAAAATAAGGCAAGTCCAAGTTCAAATTTAAATGCAATACTTAGAAAGACGGTTATATAATTTTAGCTAGGACAGTCAGTAAAGGGGAATACCCCTTGAAAGTGGGAGGGGTCCACATACCTTTTTAAATAGCAAGCTGAAGTTCAGGTGGTGGCTGTATTTTTTTTAAGTGTTAAAGATTTTATTAAAGTTAACATTCCACAAAGTCATACAAATTGCAAAAAATTCCAGGCATACAAACCATTATCCGTGATAATGTGCCATCTTTCTTCTCCAAATGTCAAAAATGTACTTGTTTTAATGACACAAAAAAGTCTTTAGAAAGTCAAATCCACTGTCCTTCTGTGTTGGGTAAGAAACCTATGTCTTCATTCATTTCATGGAATCCATGTTAAAAGAACACTGTCTTGGGTGTATGTTATCACAGGACTCTTGTATTAATCCATTTTCCTCAAATCCCCATAGTGGATTGCCATCTTGATTTCTTGGTAGTAGGGTCCATTTGAGACTCTTCAAGCTGAGTAGGTGTAAATGCTTCCACGTTGTTCAGGCCCTTTTGAGGATTCAGTCTGGGAGTTCGTATTTCTGTTATATAAAATACAGACTTTCCCAAAGATTTCCTTTATCCTCAAGGATAAAACTCCTATGTCTCAGTCTTCAAAAATGTTATACCTCAAATAAAAAAACTCTATTTGTTTAGAACCATCAGCAACCAAGTTAATTTTAATTTTGGAAATCACCAGGTCCTAAGTGAGGCCACCAGCACCTCCTGGTCGCCCAAATCTGAGTTCCGGACCAGACTGCCTGACCAAGCCAGGTCCAGCCTCTGGGGCCCAGGGAGCCACTGTGGCCACAGCTGCCGCAGTGATTTTGGAGTCGGAGTCGTGGGCCCTGCCACCAGTGTGTGGCCGCTTTTTTTTTTTTCTGAGGGTTAAAAGCATCAACAGAGTCAGTATATACCTTAAGCTTTACACAATTGGACAGTAAGAAACAAAGTGGGATATTCTGTCAATGCCACAAATTTCTAGGCTAATAAGGATAAGTCATAAAATCCTAATGTAGTGGGGAGTAGGATGGGGAAGATAATCTGCATTTACTGGTCAGAGTAAAGAGAAGTGACAGGTCAGAATTTTCAACATAAGTTACTACTTAGGTATACTTACAACACTTTGTGAAATAAAAAGTTAGGTATTATCAGTAGAACCCTTTACTGAATGGTGAGGATAGCTGCCAAAATAAACAACTAATTATCTAATTATGGGTTAACACTCTCTTTTATTATGCATTCTAGACATACTCTTGCCCCTTCTCTACCGTATTACTGGAATCCAGTTTTGCAATTATGACAAATGGACAAACTTGTTCCATCAGTTGAGATAGAAGACCTTTAACTATATTAGCAAATAATTTATACTCTGGAAGATGTTTCCAGGAATATTGGTTTAATTGAGACTTTAATTACGGTCCAAGAGCTTTTATGGGAAATTCACTAAAAATTTTTATTTGGAAGAATGTTATAGGTATATGATCACTAATACTGAGAATGGTTGGATTAAAAAAAATATGAGACTTATCAGTACATTTCCACTGGAAACATAAAGCTCTGAAATCTGTGACTAAGTAAACAAAGGAATAGTCCTAAAATTTTCTTTTGCAACATAACAAAAAGATACTCCAAACTAAAAAGGCAATAAGTTTAATTAAATGGCAGATTTAACAACATAGTTTTCATTCTATAAATAATTAACTAGCGACTACTCCTAAAGTCAGAGGACAAATAAGGAAACCATTTCTGTCATATTCTACAATTCTGGAAAATAGGATTTAGAAGTTCCAGGACTTAAATCTTTATGCTACGAAGAACAATTATTATCCACTATAATTAGGACATGGTCTCCTAAAGAGTATTCATTTTCTGGGGTCATAAAGAATTTTCTTTTCTTTTTCCCTTATTCAAAACATTTAGTAAAGGAAAAGGATACCAGAAAAATTTTATCATTCCTCCCCCCTCCCCCCTCACCCTGTTTAAAATCATTTGAAAAAACAAACACCAAAGTCATCTGAAAATAAGATCATTTCCTTTGCTAGATAAGCATCTTGTACAAATTAACCACTCAATAAACCTTTCTTGAAATGAACAGAAACTTTACACCAGTGTCATTGTGTTACCTTTAGAGAAGAGGATGCAAAGCTACTAAAACAAGTAACACAGGCTTATAGTTTTAACTAAAACCTGTGGGAGTCATGTTCAAATCAGAATTTTGATTGGTTTCCTTTATTATCATTACTACTATGGTCTGCTCACAAATTCTGCAGCTTGCAGTTCATTTCAAATCCCTCTAAGAGTCCACTCCATGAGCTAAACATGTATATATATTTTTAAAAAGTAAATCTGTATCACACAGTAAGACTGGAGGCAGTTTAATGTAATCAAAGGTTATAGCTCTGAAAAATATGAAGGTAGGATACTGAACCTTAGGTGACCTAGGTTTGTTAACTCTTGGTTTGCTTCAAATACCGATGAGCTATGTTTGAAGTATAGCCTCAACTCTTACCCACTATTTACAGCTGTCCAATAATAAGGACACAAGCAGTAAAATATCTGAAGCATAAAACATGTAAAGTTGATGACAAATGTTTCAGAACTTCAGGAATAAGATTAATGAAGAGCAAAGGAAATCTAGAACAAGGAAAGGGAAGGTACATTTATTAAAAATAAAAACAGTACACAGTCTCTGATAACAAACAAAAAAATCATTTAGAATCCAAAGACTATACACTGTACATTGTAACAATGCATGCACATTTAAAAAAACAAAGACCCATGAAGTAATTTTTTAAAACTTTCAAAAGGAAAAAAAAATATTCTGTCTCTCTCCTGCTGGAGATTTTCCTGTGAACATACCACGCTAGACCAGCATTACCTTTCAAATGTTCCATACAACATGGTGCTGCACAAGGTGTGCAATTGTTTTGATGAACACATTGTTTCTGAATAAAATCGTGGTTTCTGTATGGATGATCCAGAACATAAATAAATGGCTCCATTTAATAAAAAATATTCGTAGGCTGGAAGAGCAGTGACAATCATTTTCCAAAATCTTCAGTTTTAACAGAAGGTACCAAATAAATTACTAAATCTAGATATTTTCACATTATTTTGCATGAGTATCAAGTACTATGTAAAAATTGATGTAAAATCTGAAGTTAGCCAAAACTAGTGTCTCTAAAGATCAAAGTTCTTCACTCTTTTAGCGTAGCTGATAAATTTTTCCTGTCTTTGTCACTAATAATGCTTATCAAACCAAAGAACTTTAAAAAAGAATATGCGCTACTAAAGGACGATAGTACCAAAAATGTCATACTGATCTTCAATCTTAAGACACACACAGTTCCTGTTGGACACTGGACTGTGTAAGTTTATTATCTTCAGTCTTTTCATGTCCTGGGGCATGGCAAGTAGTCTTCCGCTTAAACAACCGAAGACTCAATCGTAATAATTCATTGTCTACCATTGGAGCATTCGTGTACGCTTGTTTTACAGTACCCTATTTGGAGAAAACAAATACAAGAAAAAAAAAAGTACATTATTAGTTGACAGTAGAAAAGAAAGGTAGGTTAACCTCTATCCAAAATAGCACTTGTAAGAGTACTTAATTTTGGATGGATACTAAATTAGCTTTATTAGATTTACAAGCAAAATTAGGAAATATGTTTGGGCTCAGTGAATCTTAGAAAAGAAAGAAAACTTTAGAGTGCATCTAGTCTAATTTCTTGCCTGAAGTATTATATAGGAATCCTTTCAACAATTCCTGACACGTAATCAACCAGTTTTACTTCATCATTTCCAATGAAAAAAAAAACAAACAAAAAAAACACTGCACATTCTATTGTTGAATGGCACTATTTGTTCCGTGTGATGAAATAAACTCTCTTTTATGGAAGTACATTCTAATTTTATCTTACTTTTACTTGACAGTCCTTCAATTCCATGAAGAGAAGCATCATGACTTCCTTCTTCACTTTTTTTTTTTAAAGACAGGGTCTCACCATGTCACCCAGGGTAGAGTGCAGTGGCGTCATCACAGCTCACTGTGACCTCAAACTTCAGGGCTCAAGTGATCCCTCCTTCAGCCTCAGTCTCCCAAAGTGTTAGGATTACAGGCACTGAGCCACCACTCCTGGCGCCGCCCTGTTTTTCTTTTGCAAGCCAAACATTCTACATTCCTTACTGGTCTATTAATGTCAGCTCTACAACTGAATAAATTCTTTAGAAGAAGGCTGATCACACAGTATCCTGAGGAACTACTACCTCCCTTATACTAAAATGTGCATCTCTATTATTGTAACTTAGAGCTACAGTAGCATTTTGTGCAAAGTTATTGTCAAAGAGGAAGAATGAGGAAAAGTTACAAAATATTTTTTATAGAATGGACCCAGGATTCTGATGAGATTGTAAACCATACAGTCTTTCTCAACTGGGGTCTCTTACCTGAACCAAACAGAAAATGATTTGAATGATTATTTTTCAATTTAATACCAAGAATGGTGGTAACTGGTACCGTTCTGGATGCACAGGAAAGGTGATTCATTACACACGTGCTTCGGCCACTGGGGCTTAATTCCCTCAGACTCTCTTTTTTATAAATTTAATTTCCCACCCAAATTTGAGTATTTTTCTTAATGAAGTAATCTTTTCTGTAGCAATGTTGTAGCCAAAGATAATTCTAATGTTTTCCTAACTGTTCCCAAGTAAAAAGTAAAAAGCTAGTAAATTAATTCTTTTCTAACTTTTTAGGACCAACTCTCATTTGTCCTACAGGTTGAGTATCCCTTATATGAAATGCTCTGAACCAGAAATGTTTTGGATTTTGGATTTTTTTTTTTTTTTTGATTCTTAAGTATGTGCATTACACCTAACTTACCTAGTTGAGAATTTCTATCTTAAAACCCAAAATCTGAAAGGTTCCACTGAGCATTTCCTTTGAGGGTCATGCTAGTGCTCGAAAAGTTTTGGATTTTGAAGCATTTCAGATTTTTGAATTAGGAGTACTCAACCTGAATTACCCATGTCCACCACACTCACCCCAAAATAAAAATCCCAGTTTCTTAACTTTAAAAAACCTAAAATGTTTTCATCTTAGGCTTACCAGATCTCATTATCAGATCTCTTCCAAATCTAAACTAATTTCAATTTCTCTTACTTTTCAATTCCCTTTATCCTTCTCAAGTAAACGTTATATGTAGCAACTTTTTCACTCTCTTCCAATTTCGTACATTCTCATAAACACTTGTCTTATAAATATCCTTACCATTCTGTATCTGGGAAATTTTTTTTCTTGATTTGCAATTTAAATAAATTTCTAATATGCTTATTGAGAAAGTTTTTCAAAAATGAAAACATATTTCACAGAAACAATATTTTAAACTTTATGCACGAAGTTTTAAATAGCAACTGTTATTCAAAACGTTAATACTATTGAAGTAAAATTAAAAGTATTAGAAATTTTAATAGAATTCTTCCTTTTTCATGTGTAAAAGAGTAGGAAGCCTAACTCATAAAAACGTAAGACTGTAATCTCACTTTAAAGCAATCAAATGAAAAATATACCATTCATACTATTCATTTTGCATTTTTTCCAAGGAAACAACAGTACCTTCTCATTTTTAACAAGCTGCTTTCGGATTGCAGAATCCCGTCTGAAGCATAACGCCTTACAACATGGTCCAAGATTACTAAGGAGACTTGCTCTTTCTTCTTTTCGTAGTAACGCAGCCATGTTGAGAGCCCCCAATTCATGTTCAAAAAGATTGTCTGCATCTTTCAATAAAAATAAGCATGCATTAAGTTTTCCTAAAATAGAAAAGTGTTACCAACTACTTAATTGAATATTCTACAAAATCTATACTTTATCAAAGTTAGCAACATTGGTGAAAATTATTTCATATTAAAGGCAATATATCTTCTGTGAAGACCTTCAACATGTAGTTGTTTTACTAGTCTTAAACAAAAATACTTTGATAGCTACTTTAAATTTGCTTAAAACATAAGAAAAGCAGACTTGGGAGAGAGAATTTAGACACTGATTACTGACTAAGAATGAGAAGAAAAGTTCAAGAATCAGTGAAGTCAAATTCAGTATATTGTGTACCATCAACTACTACTTAAAGTTCTAGATTTCAGGATATTTTTATAGCAAGATTCAAATGTAGTAATAATATTCAAGACTGTGACCTCTAAAAGTCACTTAAATTAGCAAAGTGATTAGGTATTAGACCAATCCGCAAATTTTGTTCTAGATTTGGTCACCATAAAAACCTAGGACAATGTATTAAATTAAAATCGCTTAGTTTTAAGTCACAACATACAAGATACAGAGAAATCACTGAACATATAAAAAATAGATAAAGGAAAGATTTTATAAAAAATAAGGAGGTTGGGTTAAAAACAGACAAAAAAGGAGTCAGAATAACCGAACAGCACCAGCCAGTAATCCAAATATATAACTCTTAAGAGTCGGCCAAGAGTACCTAAGACAGCAGGTACTACTGCCTCTATTCATACAACATGATCAAACAGGTTACTGTTAGAACCCACAAAGGAAAGCAGTAAATAATACCTATGTAAAAACAGAACAAACATATTTTATTGGAAATGAATACTGCTCCATTACATAGATCATTTTAATTTTCTGAGCTGCAAAGCATGAGTACTGAGATTAGATAATTAACAAAAACTAGTTTCATGTAACATACATAGTCAATAAGTTATATATTATACCTACCTAGTCAGTAGGTATGTAACATAAGAAAAGAGTAAGTATAAAGAAAAACTCAAAAACAGTACTCAAACTTTGAAATCTATCAGAATCATCTGAGAAGCTTTTTAAAATACATTTCCTGGGCTCTAACCCAGATCTACAGAATCTGAATCTCCATAGTTGGACCAAGATATCTTAAGGGAAAAAAAAGGCAGTTTTTCAGATGATTCAAATACACCAATGTTTGAGCCAACCAATGACACAGTCTTTTTTGCACATGATTAAAAACAAAAACATTAATTACCATCCTACTATAGATATAACTATAGAAGAAATTTGCATTGATCCTATGCCCTTCCTTAAAAAATGCTCATTATGACATATTTCTTTTTATTGGCATTCTTATTTGGTGCTTTCACAACAGTAGAATACAAAATGCATACCTGCAAACTTCCCTAGAAGTATAACATTGTTAAACTTCCAGTCTCTTCATGGTTTTGAACTGACCAGCACCAAATTACTCAAGAGACAGACTTATCCCACACTTAAGAACAAGTAAAACGAAGGAATCAAAATAATTGGAAAATTTAACCATAGTGCAATTATTACAGAAAAACCTAGGCAGGCCAGGTGCAGTGGCTCACGCCGGTAATCCTAGCACTCTGGGAGGCCAAGGTGGGAGGACTGCTTGAACTCGGCAAGAGCGAGACCCAGTCTCTACTAAAAATAGAAAAATTAGCCAGGCATTGTGGCACATGCCTATTGTCCCAGCTACTTGGGAGGCTGAGGTAGGAGGACCGTTTAAGCCCGGGAGTTTGAGGTTGCAGTTAGCTATGATGACACTACTACACTTTATCCAGGGCAACAGAGCAAGACTCTGTCTCAAAAACAAACAAAAAAACCTAGACAAAAGTAATTTCAATTTCAGTATACTAGAAGGTTTTCAGTTGTAAGCTGTAGTTTTGTTTTTT